TCCTTCTCCAGAAAATGTGTTTAGTTTCTCACTATTAGCCAAGTGCCCAGCAAAATAGATTTAATTTCTTCTACCCCTGCCCTGTGTGCTAGCTTTCTGTATTAAAAGTAGAACAGTATGTATTACCACAGTGAGTAATTTCTGTCAACATTAAGTTGATTTTTTCAACTCATTTCATTCTGAGATTATTATATTTGTAATTAAAATGATTGGTTATTGCAAATAGTTACTGCTGAGAATGAATTAGGCATTGATGAGTAGGTAGGGTAAGTCTAATGCTATAGGTGTCATTGGTTGATTGACCTTTATTCAGTAACTTACTTTGTTATGCTTTGCAGTGACTCTGGGAAATGGGAGTTATATTACCCTTTTGTTTCTTGATTTCAATATACAGAAAAAAATGTTAAATTCATGTCTATTTCCATCTCCACCTTGCTTTTAGTTTGATATGTAAAGCACAGTTTTTGTTGTTCATTAGATGTTTGTTCATTCATTTCCTCATTCAACTCCTCATTCATCCTCTTGGTGTTTATTAAGCAATGTATCACTTACTGCTATGTATCACACACTATTATGCACATTTCAGTAAAGCACTGGTTGCCAGCGGAGTATCAGGGACCCCTGAATACATCTATTTTTATCATTGAATTTCAGTTAATCATTTTGTTCCATTTTATTTCTGAAGATTTTAATTCCTGCTTCATAAATCGTATTTAGTCCAAGTTAAGTGTAACAAAGATTATTTCACTCAACTTTTGTGGTCCAAGATCCATTTCTGCTTGTTGGGTTGTCATATTGTATGTCGAATACAAATTAAAATTGAAGCTTCTTTTTAGATATATACCCATAAACCATTTTCTGACTTAAGTCCTACTAAAAGAAATGTTCAGTGGAATTTTATTCACTCTGAAGTCACCTAAATCTTTATCATCCTAGTAATTTTTTGAATGGATATGTGATGTTTGTTTTGCTTAATAACTCATATATTCTCCTTTAAAAATCTTTTTGGAGATTTAACTGGTACCTTCTTTATTTTTTTTTCTTTTTTTTTTTTCCATTTATTTTTATTAGTTGGAGGCTAATTACTTTACATCATTGCAGTGGTTTTTGTCATACATTTAAATGAATTAGCCATGGATTTACATGTATTCCCCATCCCAGTCCCCCCTCCCACCTCCCTCTCCACCCGAACCCTCTGGGTCTTCCCAGTGCACCAGGCCCGAGCACTTGTCTCATGCATCCAACCTGGGCTGGTGATCTGTTTCACCCTAGATAATATACATGTTTCGATGCTGTTCTCTTGAAACATCCCACCCTCGCCTTCTCCCAGAGTCCACAAGTCTGTTCTATACATCGGAGTCTCTTTTTCTGTTTTGCATATAGGGTTATCGTTACCATCTTTCTAAATTCCATATATATGTGTTAGTATACTGTAGTGGTCTTTATCTTTCTGGCTTACTTCACTCTGTATAATGGGCTCCAGTTTCATCCATCTCATTAGAACTGATTCAAATGAATTCTTTTTAATGGCTGAGTAATATTCCATGGTGTATATGTACCACAGCTTCCTCATCCATTCGTCTGCTGATGGGCATCTAGGTTGCTTCCATGTCCTGGCTATTATAAACAGTGCTGCAGTGAACATTAGGGTGCACGTGTCTCTTTCAGATCTGGTTTCCTCGGTGTGTATGCCCAGAAGTGGGATTGCTGGGTCATATGGCAGTTCTATTTCCAGCTTTTTAAGAAATCTCCACACTGTTTTCCATAGTGGCTGTACTAATTTGCATTCCCACCAACAGTGTAAGAGGATTCCCTTTTCTCCACACCCTCTCCAGCATTTATTGCTTGTAGACTTTTGGATAGCAGCCATCCTGACTGGCGTATAATGGTACCTCATTGTGGTTTTGATTTGCATTTCTCTGATAATGAGTGATGTTGAGCATCTTTTCATGTGTTTTTTTGCCATCTGTATGTCTTCCTTGGAGAAATGTCTGTTTAGTTCTTTGGCCCATTTTTTGATTGGGTCATTTACCTTCTTTAAAATAAAATTTGTGTAGCAAGCTATGACTGCCCAACTGAAACTATCTCTAAAGTTCTGTTTTACTTCTTTAAGCATGGATTTCAACTCAGTGCATAGAAGTAAGCTGTAGAGGTCTTTAAATAAACAAATGACTGGACAGTCACCCTCAGGTCTCATTCACCTTCAGGAGTCTCATTCAGTAGTCTGGAGAGAGTAATTTTACTTTTAAAATGCTCCTCAGGGTTTTAATATACAGCCATAATTGGAAACTATTATCTGTTGAAATGTAGAGTTAAGTTTTTACTTTGAAGATACAGAATCATAAGCTTTGAGAGGAAATAGACCTGGAAAATTATTCCTACAACGACAGGAAACTTATCTGACATCTCAGGCTGACAGCTTGACCACTCTGGAAAGACTCTATTCTTCCATAAGGAAAAACTTAGAACCCAAACATCATATAATATTCAGTGGCACAGTCTTTTGGAGCAGATTCTCTCACCTTGATTCTTAACTTTATTCCATTCTTCACTTTACTAGAGAGTAGCATCTTCTGGTAGATGGTACCCTGACCTGTAGATTTCATGACATCAGGAATGCCCTTTCTTTGCACCCTTCGTTAGAGGGATTGCCCTCTAACTCTCCTCCTCTATTATTAAGTTATCTATATGTGTTATACTTTCCAGAAGGGAAACATCAGTAGTAGTAACATTATAAGCACACAAATTTACATGTTAATAACATTTCTTAGGCTTAATAACCTAATTTTTTGTGTACTAGAATTCTAAGTTTTATCTCATCTAAATTAAAATTGTTCTGGTAGTAGTTTATGTGTATCACTCTTGTCATTATGATAGTTGATGTGTAGGTCTGTTCCATGGCTACAGGAATATATAAAGTAAATGTTTATTTTTTTGAAACTATATAAACTTTGCAGAATCAGCCAGCATCACCAACACTATAGCACTAAATTTTGCATTATTTAAACTTAAGGAACTAAAATATAATTAATCATGAAATGTAGATTCACCAGGAGCAGATTTAAGTACTGAAACAAGAAGAACTTCCTGGTAACTACCCAAATGAGTTTAACCTGATTGTGTTGTAGTGGACATTAGAAAAGCTGTGTTTAAATTATGGCTGAATTTTAAAAATGCTGTTCTATGTCTCTCCTTGTATATTGGTTTCATTTTTCTCTACTGGAGACATAGAGTACCTCATAGCCCTGTAATTAATGCAAAGCATTGTGGGTGAATACCATTTTCACTCTAATTTCAAATACCTGTAGAAAACATTGAGTAGTCTTCCTTGCTCAGCCTCTTGTTAGAAGAAGTGCAGAAGTGGTATCCTTCTTCCCTCCATGCAGAGGTTCATCTACCATCACCATAATGGTTATAAGTAGCAAGGGATTCCTAGCTATATAAACTGTAGCTTAATTGCTATCATTATGAAATTTAGCAATATTGCTAAGACTGTATTCTGATCAAAATAAGTATAAGTCAGATGTAGTTTATCAAGAAATTAACAGACACTTATTTTTTTAAATTGTTATTTATTTTTGTTTAAGAAATTACCCCTCTAGGCTAGGTAGTTGACCTATCAGTCTGGTTTGCCCAGGACTGTGAAAGGTTCCTAAGGGCTTGAGACTTTAAGTACTAACTGTGTGCAAGTCCTTGGCAAACTAGAAGTAGGTTACCTTTACCAGGAGTGCAGAAAGATGAATTATTATTGCTTTAAAGAGTAGATATTTGATAACAGTGATATTTAATTATTTGTACCTATCTCTCTACATCTTGTCTACCTATATTTTAAAATTAAGTTTGAATGCCAATTCTTCCTAATATCTTCTTCTTATGAATTCACATAATTCTTCACCTGTATCATTTTTGTTCCACTTTGCACTTTAAAACATCTTTATCTGAATTTTCTATATACAAATTTTATCTCTGACACTACATGGAAAGTTCTGTTAGGTCATAATGTATGATTTATCTCTTACCCCTTATAGATTCTAGCATGGTGCTCCACACCTACTTTATAAGAAGGGATTTATTAAAAGTAAGGAATAAATCCATGAGTGAAGTAGGTGTATTGTTAATATAAGATGTACCAGTGTGTAGTAGGGGAAAAAAAAAACAACTACCGATACAGAATTCAGAAAACCTAGATCTGTCACTAGGTAAATTTGTGATTCTTGGCAGTTCCCTTACTTATGTGTGTGTGTGTGTGTGTGCACGCACACACGTGTGTACGTGCACACACATGTGTGTACACACTACAGTTTTGTCAGCCCAAAACTGAAAGTTTCAACTAGACCCTCCTTGCTATCTAGTGATGCTTTTGACTGTTCAGTTTTAATTTGGTCATCCAGTGTTGTCAAAGACCAGTCCAAACTTTCAGCCTATCCTGTAGTCAGTCCTCTGTACTGTACACCCCCTTTTTCACTTTTGGAAGATGACCACGATTTGTACTCTATCAAGAATATTTACATGTAGGAATAAACTTGTCCAGTCCACCTTTGTAAATTGCGGTACATTTTAAGTAGAATAATACCAATTATTCCTTTCTGACACTGACCATTTAAGTATTTAAGATGTAAACAGCCATACTTACGTAATTCAGAATCTTATATATGCATTGCTTGATGAAAATACAATATTCTAGACCATTATTGTGTTATGACTTTTGTGTTTGGCGAACCAAGTAAAAGTAGATTGCTTAAAAACTGTGATTATTTGTTTTGTATTTAATATATTTTTAAATGCTTTTTTATAGGAGAAAAACTATTTTGTAAAAGGTTTCCTGTTAATTTTTTTGAAAAATGTAACTGACAGCTCTTACAAGAACAGGATTCATCAGTGTGTTTTGAAGATTCACATTAAAATATGTAAAAATATTGCTTTCATCAATTTTCAATTAAAATGTGATTATTATGCAGACTTTTATACATTTCTATAACCCAGTGTTCTGTTGTTTTTAGCTACTGATGCAAATGTGAAGAATGAAAATCTTTCATCTGTGCAACAGCTTGGCGTTAAAATGACTGTCAGGTATATTATAGGGAAATATCTCCCTGTGCATTTCTAGAATTTGTTTTTATCTATCTAATATGTGCTTAATAATATATAAGTTAACAATCAACTATTTTGTATGGTTTAAATGCAGAGTTTATTATTCAGAAAATGATAACTTTGTTTTGAGGATATTGGCACATGGTTAAATTACCCCTGCAAGTAAATCAGTTATGGTTCATTATTATTTCAGAGGCTAATTACAGCATATTTAAGTCTCTATGATGATCAGGTTTTTTCCAAAAAAACATTTTAAGTAACAGCACATTGCTAGCACAATTATACCACTTGCTAAAATGTGATTAGTTTTTATTTTCAGGCAATAACTATAGTTATGAGTATAAAAGTATCTTAATGACAGATGCATAAGTAAAAGCAGAATAAATAAATTATAGTAGTTTGAATTTTTCATACTCAAGTTATACTTTTCAAAAGAAATGGACAGGCTAAACAGACTGGGAGTTAAGCTATGAGCCCTTCATGATTAAATAGGGATCTTGACAGGCCCATTCTATCTGTTCTGTTGGATCATCTTCAGAATTAAGTATAAAAAAGATGCATGTGAAAGTTTTTAAAAAAGACTGTAAATCCATAACATTATAATAAAAACTATGATAGTGATTCTAGCACATCCACCTATATCACATAGGGTATATAACCCACTGATTATGTTTTGTGACCCTGTACCTGCCTTTTATACTGTAATGACCTTAATTCCATTCTAAAATGGAATCCATAGGTAATATGAGCAAGCTAGTCACATATTTTTTTTAATTCAGCATGATGTCTTATTGTTAAGCCATAAGCGGAAAGTGATTTATAATGAGATGTTTGTTTACAGCTACAGTATGAGACATAGCTGGCACCTATGAATCATTGTAGCTGTGGGGCAGCTACAGATGGAGATGGATTTTATTTTGGTGTTTAAAATATTATAAGAGGGTTGCCACTAGTAAAGTGACTTTGCAAAAGAATGAAAAGTCTCAGGAAGGCTTCAGGCAAAGTGAAGGAACTATCTTTCCCTAGCTTACACTTGGTTTCGGTCAGTGTATAATAAATAAGACTAATATATTATGATTTTGTATGAAGCGCAATTAGTTTCAGATAATTATAAATAAAATTTTCATCTATACAAATAATAGGTAGGGCATTTATAAGTTTTTACTGTGCAGGGCTGACTGTCCCATGTCTGACCTCCTGACGCTCACTCATCAAGTATCAGTGGTCCTCCAGTCACTGTGGCAAACAAAAACACTCCCATAAACTTCCAAAATTGTGCCGTGCTCATGTAGAATCACTGGACTAAATGAACCCTAAAATTGCTTCTAGACTTAGCATTCTGTCAAGCTAGCCTGTCAGCATTCCATGTTGTAGATTAAATTCAAGAAAAAAGTGCTTATATTCTACTACTCATCTATAGTATCCGTGTTTTATTCTTTCACTACTACTTCATTTTCCTTTAAAGTTATTGTATTTACCAGATTACTGCAAATTCTGATATGTCATAATTATCAGGTACATATATTGGGTGTTATTCTTTCATGAGTGCTCTGTATAATAGTTATGCCAAAAGTAGAAATTTGAAAACTTTAAACTATGAGATCTCAAGAGAACTACAGTTTGATGAATTTTAAAAAATGAATTTACTATGCAAGGCCTGACATTTTTCATTTTGTATGTTTTCTGGACATTTAATATGGCATTTAGGTATGGCAAGTTCCTCAACCTGTTAAAAGATGGTGCAGAAAATGATCTTACCTTGGTTTTGAAGCATTGTGAGAGATTCCTGAAACAGCAGCAAGCTTCTATAAAATCTTCTCTTCATATCCTTTCTAAATGACTGACAGTACTTATAACTCTCTTCATATGCTTTTCAGAATTCTTGGAGGGAATAATTTGAAATATTTGTAGGGAAATAATACTTTAACCTATATTAGTGATTTGCTATATCTTTTATAGTATTTTATTCTATTATTTTAAATAGGTATTTTATTAGATTGAGTTGTAATTATTAAATTCAACCTTATTAAATCTTGAATAATTAGTTATTAGAACATATTTTCGGGTATATATAGAGAAGCTTTAAAATAGGTTTAGTAAATCAAAATAATGCTCTAGATTTAGTAAATCTAGAATAAGAATAAAACATCCATTTATTTTATTTGTATTGGTTATCTTTCAGAAATAGAGTTTGACTTCAAGAAAAAAAAAGTTTATACAAATCATGTGCATTACTGAATTCTAAAAATATGTGGACTTTTAAAATACTTTATTATGCTAATAATTTAACAGATAACCTAATCTAGAGAAAGGATGGTACTGTTGTGTTAATGACTTGAACAGTGTGTTTCCACAAAGCATATAGTTTTTTCCTCTAGTTGCTGGTGATTTTGGCCGTGTCAACAAATAGTATATTAAATTAGTTACTGTGCAAGTAGTTTTTTTATTAGTAAAGTTTAATTTTAGAATTTGCCTGCCAATGTAGGAGGCACAAGAGATGCAGGTTTGATACCTGGGTTGAGAAGATCTGCTGGAAAAGGAAATGGCAAAAGAGGAGTCTGGCAGGTTACAGTCCATGGGGTAGCAAAGAGTCAGACACAACTGCGCATGCACACAGGCGTTTACATCAATAGCTTATAAGCTAGTTGAAGACAAAATGAGGGCTAAATATCACTAATATCTTTCTTGATAGAGATTCTGGAAATGAATATTTACGGAGTTCTAATATTTCACCATGTGAGATAAAATATAGAAGTTCCTTAACTGTGCCTTTCAGTCTGCTTGCAGAGGAATCACACTGGCCATGACTGGTTTGTATCTTCTTTGTTCATCATAATGTTGGGGGACAAAGACAAAACATTCCAATTTCTTCAGCAGTTCTCCAGGCTTCTGACTTCAGCTTTCCTTTGGTTGCCAAGACTACATATTTCTGTAAGACTTTTCAGTCTGTTTTATAGAAAAATTTTAAATTCTAAGGATAATCCTCTTTAGATTCAATAGGATCTTATTATTTTATTGATAGAGTGTGTTATATACTCTATATTCATTTTCTATCTGAATGCAGTTTTGAGTGATTCATTTTGAAGATACACATTTGCTATTTTCTCAAATACTTGCTGTCTTACCTAATGATAACTGAATGAAGGATTAATAATAATGGGTGCATTATTAAATTTTAAACTTGTTATTTAATTGGAAAATTCCATATATAAATAGAAAACCTTTGAATGGATATTTTTATTGTTACTTTGTTATACTCTCTGGTTAAATTATAGTATAAGAAAATAATATGTTGAAATTGTATCCATATTGTATATGGAAAAGCATACTTATTTTATATACATTTTGCCAATCTATGATGAGTTTTGGTTAAGGTATTATAGTGTGTTTTTTTATTTAAAGATTTTACTAGTTCTGTGAGATCCAAGTTTAGTTTAGAGGTAAGTGTATCACTAATTTATTCATGATTCTGCATTTTGTTTTACTTAATTATTGCATTTAAGACCTCCAACTTGGGGCAAGTGTCCATTATAAGCCATGCTAACGCTTTTCATGACAGACTGAACTTGGACAGCAGAGTCACACAGTACCCAAGAATAAGTTGTTAAGGGGAATAGAGAGTATCTGTGTCAAGTTAAATGAAAGCACTTATTACATGCTCTTAAAATAGGTATTTGTGATAAAGAAAATAAAAGCAAAGCACCAAGGAATATATTAAATGTTAAAATTTTATAATTTTATGTCTGAAATAGCTATATGCAATTCCTGTGTAAGACTTTCTCCTGCTTATACTTAACTGTAACTAGAAATTTGCTCACATAAAAGGAGGAACCAAAGACAAAGGAGTATGTACTAGCTTTTCTCCAATCAGTGGAACTATTTTCCTTCTGTTAACCAGAATTTGGACAATTCTTTAAATTGTACGTGAAGGTTTAGAATATCTTAAAATGCTTATTAAAAGAATTTTTAACCTTACATTTGTAAATGAAAGAGAGAAAAAAATTTTAAGTCCATCACACACTTTCATGTCAAGTATTTTGAAAAGATACCTACATGCCACTAGTTTTAAGTATTCTAATTTAGTGTTCAGATCATGACCCTGCCAGACATCACCAATGAACTACTTTTAACTATACTTTTATAAAGTTGCGTTTCTGCTTTGACTCTTTAAACCTGTTTTCTGACACGTTATTTTACTTTTAACATGAGTGATGTGCTCTGATAGCATTTCTTCCCCTACAACTGAAATCAGGCAGTACTCTAATAGCTTTGAGTTTATTAGATTAACCGTTTTGATAGCATCATATAATATGTAATATAGATCTGTGAATGGAATAGAGTGACATTACTCAAGGGTTTTAGAATGAACTGAGTGTAAAGCTTTATACCTTTCTGGTAGTGCAGCTATATTGTCAGTGAAGGCTCATGCCATGCCTTCTATAGTATCATTTTTTTCTTTTCAACTACAGATATACCAAGTTGAATATTTTATTACCAGTAATTTGTTTTACTGTCTTTGTAAAGCAAATAACATTCTGCTAACATTGCTCTTCTGGGATTCTGTCTAGAACTGTTAGCTAAGTGCAGTTACTAATGTCTGTATAATCACCACTCCATAGTTTAAATGTTTTTGATTTACACTTATTAATCTTTTGGATTTTTTTTTTTTTTTTTGCTATGTCACTTTACTTGTTAGTGCATGTGGTAGAAGACTTAATATATTACTTTAAAAGTGGCCCTTTTCTGTTATGTTTGTTCCATTGTTTCTAAACATCACACTGACGCTTTCTATGCAGGTTGACAAAATACGCAAATCTGCATTTGCCAAAAGACATGTTAAAGACACTTTAGCTTTAGCCATTAATAGCACAGACTTTTCCACCATCTTTAGCACACTACCGTGTTAGTGTAATTAACCTCAGGAAAGCCTCAGCCTGTTTGCCTTGAACCCCATCCCCTTGCTCTGTTTTTTTCTTTTTGTTCCATGGCCTATATCGGTTCCGAATATGCTCCTTCATTTATGTATTTATTTATTACTTACGCACTTACATATAATCTCTCTGGGGCAAGGTTTTGTCCACTGACATGCCCCACCATAATTATTCAGTAAATATGCTGAATGTATGAATTAGTATTTAGATACATATATATAAAATTCACTTTAATTGAAGGAAGTAGGAAAAACTACTAGGTCATTCAAGTCCCTTATGATTATACAGTTGAAGTGACAAATAGATTCAAGGGATTAGATCTGATAGAGTGCCTGAGGAACTATGGACAGAGGTTCATAACATTGCACAGGAAATGGTGACCAAACCATCCCCAAGAAAAAGAAATGCCATCAGGCAAAATGGTTGTCTGCTGCTGCTGCAGCTGCTAAGTCGCTTCGGTCATGTCCATGGGGTTGCAAAGAGTAAGGTAGGACTGAGTGCCTGAATAATAGCAATAAATGTAAAAGACAGTAGGCTTTTATTACTTTAGAAAACATGTTTAAGACAGCTCCCTACATTCTTAAAAGTGTTATAAACAAATTGCATCAAAAAGATTTTATTCTTTTTGTTGCAATGGTGAATGGTATTGTTTCCTTAATTTCTCTTTCTGTTTTCTCATGTTAGTGTATAGGAATGCAAGAGATTTCTGTGTGTTAATTTTATATCCTGCAATTTTACTGTATTCGTTGATTAGCTCTAGTAATTTTCTGGTAGAGTCTTTAGGATTTTCTATGTAGAGGATCATGTCATCTGCCAACAGCGAGAGTTTCACTTCTTCTTTTCCTATCTGGATTCCTTTTATTTCTTTTTCTGCCCTGATTGCTGTGGCCAACACTTCCAAAACTATGTTGAATAGTAGTGGTGAGAGTGGGCACCCTTGTCTTGTTCCTGATTTCAGGGGAAATTCTTTCAACTTTTCACCATTGAGGGTGATGCTTGCTGTGGGCTTGTCATATATAGCTTTTATTATGTTGAGGTATGTTCCTTCTATTCCTACTTTCTGGAGAGTTTTAATCATAAATGGATGTTGAATTTTGTCAAAGGCTTTTTCTGCATCTATTGAGATAATCATATGGTTTTTATCTTTCAATTTGTTAATGTGGTGTATTACATTGATTGATTTGCGGATATTAAAGAATCCTTGCATTCCTGGGATAAAGCCCACTTGGTCATGATGTATGAATACTTAGGAGTATATCTACCTAAAGAAACAAAAGACCTATACATAGAAAACTATAAAACACTGATGAAAGAAATCAAAGAGGACACAAACAGATGGAGAAATATACCGTGTTCATGGATTGGAAGAATCAATATTGTCAAAATGGCTATACTACCCAAAGCAATCTATAGATTCAATGCAATCCCTATCAAACTACCAACGGTATTTTTCACAGAACTGGAACGAATAATTTCACAATTTGTATGGAAATACAAAAAACCTCGAATAGCCAAAGTAATCCTGAGAAAGAAGAATGGAACTGGAGGAATCAATCTGCCTGACTTCAGACTATACTACAAAGCCACAGTCATCAAGACAGTATGGTACTGGCACAAAAACAGAAATATAGATCAATGGAACAGAATAGAAAGCCCAGAGATAAATCCACGAACCTATGGTCACCTTATCTTTGACAAAGGAGGCAAGGATATACAATGGAAAAAAGACAACCTCTTTAACAAGTGGTACTGGGAAAACTGGTCAACCACCTGTAAAAGAATGAAACTAGAACACTTTCTAACACCATACACAAAAATAAACTCAAAATGGATTAAAGATCTAAACGTAAGACCAGAAACTATAAAACTCCTAGAGGAGAACATAGGCAAAACACTCTCCGACATAAATCACAGCAGGATCCTCTATGACCCACATCCCAGAATTTTAGAAATAAAAGCAAAAATAAACAAATGGGACCTAATGAAACTTAAAAGCTTTTGCACAACAAAGGAAACTATAAGCAAGGTGAAAAGACAGCCCTCAGATTGGGAGAAAATAATAGCAAATGAAGCAACAGACAAAGGATTAATCTCAAAAATATACAAGCAACTCCTCCAGCTCAACTCCAGAAAAATAAATGACCCAATCAAAAAATGGGCCAAAGAACTGAACCGACATTTCTCCAAGGAAGACATACAGATGGCTAACAAACACATGAAAAGATGCTCAACATCACTCATAATCAGAGAAATGCAAATCAAAACCACAATGAGGTACCATTACACACCAGTCAGGATGGCTGCTATCCAAAAGTCTACAAGCAATAAATGCTGGAGAGGGTGTGGAGGAAAGGGAACCCTCTTACACTGTTGGTGGGAATGCAAACTAGTACAGCCACTATGGAAAACAGTGTGGAGATTTCTTAAAAAGCTGGAAATAGAACTGCCATATGACCCAGCAATCCCACTTCTGGGCATACACACCGAGGAAACCAGATCTGAAAGAGACATGTGCACCCCAATGTTCATCGCAGCACTGTTTATAATAGCCAGGACATGGAAGCAACCTAGATGCCCATCAGCAGACAAATGGATGAGGAAGCTGTGGTACATATACACCATGGAATATTACTCAGCCATTAAAAAGAATTCATTTGAATCAGTTCTAATGAGATGGATGAAACTGGAGCCCATTATACAGAGCGAAGTAAGCCAGAAAGATAAAGACCATTACAGTATACTAACACATATATATGGAATTTAGAAAGATGGTAACGATAACCCTATATGCAAAACAGAAAAAGAGACTCCGATGTATAGAACAGACTTGTGGACTCTGGGAGAAGGCGAGGGTGGGATGTTTCAAGAGAACAGCATCGAAACACGTATATTATCTAGGGTGAAACAGATCACCAGCCCAGGTTGGGTGCATGAGACAAATGCTCCGGCCTTGTGCACTGGGAAGACCCAGAGGGATTGGGTGGAGAGGGAGGTGGGAGGGGGGACCAGGATGGGGAATACATGTAAATCCATGGCTAATTCATTTCAGTGTGTGACAAAAACCACTGCAATGATGTAAAGTAATTAGCCTCCAACTAATAAAAATAAATGAAAAAAAAAAATTTTAAAATTTGGCTTAGAAACAATATAGGAGATACTGAAATATTAAAGTTTTAAAAATTTATAAACTCTATTACTGTGAGATAAAAACAATTTGAAAAAATGTGTCCTTAAGCCATTTAGACAAGAAGAACCCTTTAATGTACTGATTTAGTTAAATTATCTTCCAATTTTGTCTTTAAGAAAATTCTTCCTGAATGATAAAACAATCATTCTTTTGGAATTTCATTAAGAATCAGTGTGACTAATTGTTAACATCACAGCTGTTAATAAGTATAGATTAAGAAAGATCAAGAAATTAGTTATTTCCATGGAGGAATACCTAATCTCAAATAATAATTATCATAAAAATAACAATCATGTATGCCTTCTCTGTTAGTTGAAAGATGAGAGAGGATAACAAATTAAACTGAAATAAAAACTGAAGTATTTTAATTCACTTAGAAACAAAACTTCCTTGATGATAAATCAGGATAATGTTGCATTGTAATTACTAGTGTAGTTCTGCAAGAAAGTATCATGGAATAGGATAGTCACTTTATATTCGTTTAATTATTTTATATAGTTAAGTGTGTGAATATCTATATCTTCCTTTTCATAAAATAAATTAATAATAATCCAACACAGGAGGTTTAAAGTTAAAATTTCTGATAGCATTGAAATGTTCATTTAGATTTAAATGTTATAATCATCAGCATGTCATGGCCCACTTGTAGTCTATTGGCAAGGCATTAACAGTAGTAAGTCATGTTACCAATCACTTACTGGGAAGAAGAAAAGCATTAAAGTCTCTTCCCCTTCATATATGTGACTTTGAATCTTAGAAGATTCCTTTTTCCTATGCGTGGTTCTTTTTTGTCTGAGAGGAGAAATATTGTTTTTTAGAATTAATTGAATCGAAAAGTTTTCTATTCAGAGTTTTCTGTTCAGGCCTCTGCATGGTGTGCGTGGCGCACACGCTTGACAGCGTAACTGCAGCAATGCCAGTGAAACATGACTGTTCTCGGCCTGCAGGTCCCTAGAGTGGACGACAGGATTGGGTTGGATCAGTTTGCATGGGCTTGGAAAGGTTGTCTTTCTACTAGCGTCTTTCTATTTAATATCCATAAGTTTTCCTTAGTGTTAGAAATAAAATGACTGATCAAAACTGGCTGTAGTGAAAGAAAAAAAAACTGACTGCATACTGTGTTTTTCTTTAAGCACATATCTTTCATTTTAATCTTTATTAAAGCCAAATACTCTAAGAAATGGCATAACATGAACATATGGGTTCATATCATGCCAATTTTAGTATATCCCAAATCAAAAATTTTACTGATAACTTTTTCCATGATACTAGGCTAGTTTATATGTTACTTAGGTGATCTGTTAAATGATGTGATCCTGTATGTGTTCTGCTTAATTCTATGTTCTGAATTTTCTTTAGAGTTACCTTTTATTGAGTTACCATCCTTTCCAAGAGTTGTGACTACCCAAAATATATCAGAACACTAGAAGTATAACAAATATAATTTATAATTTGATGATCCAGAAGATTCTTTGTTATATTCATGTGGCTCAGAGAGGCCATTGATCTGGTTTATGAATATTATTAACTGTAAATTAGAGTTATGAAATGATAATAGACCAGTTAACAAAGCTTCTCTTATTATAAGAGAGTTTATTGGTAATTATAGGTTGTAATCATTAGTATCTTATTGTCATTCAGTCAGTTTGTTGAGTAGCTATTCTGTGTAGGACTTGGTGCTAGAAGTTTTGTTAGTTACCAAAATTTATGGCATAATTTCTTCCAACAGAGTATAATTCATAAGAGTAGAAGAATTCTTGCCTTATCTTTGGGAATCCATTACATAATAATGTTCTTTTTTTCCTTTGAGAGAATTAATTAATCTATTGTCCCCATGTCTATACAAACCTAAATATATTGTATTAAGCAACTTAGAGAACACTGTGTAATAATATTTCTAAAATATATTATTTTTACACTTACTATGTATATATTCAGAAAATTGTTATCTAATTTGCATTAAAAATTAAAGTATTGTATATGTATGAGTTGATTTTTTTGCTCTTAGGTATATTTATTAGATTCATTAATTCTACTCTGCAACTAGTAATCAGTGAAAACACACTGTGTACTCAACAAAAGAAGATAAATCAAAGGATGCTAATTCTCATTCAGTTCATATTTTTATTCTTAGCTATTTAATAAAAAAGTAATTTTCTTTGAACATCCATATGAAGTTGACTACAAGATGTTCATTTAATATGATGCATGTCTTCAGTCATCAATATATAATATTAATTTTTGTGTGTGCTGTGAAATAAATCCCTAAGAACCTATCATAAAATATATATTTATACTTGTATGTTTCCACAAATACATATTTCTCCAATATGAAATGGTAAATCATTATTTATCATAATGAATGATAAAACCTGAAAACTACTGGTAAATCACTGATTTTCTTATATAACTCAAACATAAATTCTTAAAAAGTTTAGCAATGAAATTTGCAAAAATTCTCATTTTAACTCATGTAATTGTTACATGTGAGTTCAATTTGTTTTGCTTTTAAAGTATTAACTTTCTTTTATTAATAAAAGTTTGAGCTGCCCAATAAAGATAAAAAGGTAAATTTAAATTTGAGTTATATATGAAAATTTCTGAGATCAGTGATTTATCAGTAGTTTTCATGTTTTATTATTCATTATGAGAGCAGATCCAATTTGAGTGTCAAATTTTTTATCAGTCTATGGGATATAATTGCTAGCCAAATAATTTTTCTTCACTCAAAATTACATCTTCAAGTTTGTTCTTCTTTAAAAAATGTATTGTGGTTAGATGTTGAGTTTACAGTAGCATTAAAACATACAGCATTCATGATGATAAATTGTACATAAGAACTAAATTGAAATAATCTACTTTATGAAGAAATTGCTGAAAAATGCATTTGTAAATATATGTGTATATGTATCTATACATATATGATATATATACATATAAATATAAAATATATGAAATAAATTATATATATATATGTAGATAGATAGGATAGCTTAAATTCATTTATGAGGATGCACCAAGTTTTAGAGATGAATTTCTTATGGATTTCTCAGTTTCAATTATTTGTAACTCAGGTTTTAGTTCAGTTCAGTTCAGTTGCTCAGTCGTATCCAACTCTTAGCGACGCCATGAATCACAGCACGCCAGGCCTCCCTGTCCATCACCAACTCCCGGAGTTTACTCAAACTCATATCCATGGAGTCGGTGATGCCATCCAGCCATCTCATCCTCTGTCGTCCCCTTCTCCTCCCACCTTTAATGTTTCCCAGCATCAGTGTCTTTTCTAATGAGTCAGTTCTTCAGATCAAGTGGACAAAGTACTGGAGTTTCAGCTTCAGCATCAGTTCTTCCAGTGAACATTCAGGACTGATTTCCTTTAGGATGGACTGTTTAGATCTCCTTGCAGTGCAAGGGACTCTCAAGAGTCTTCTCCAACACCACAGTTCAAAAGCATCAATTCTTCGGTTCTCAGCTTTCTTCACAGTCCAACTCTCACATCCATACATGACCACTGGATAAACCATAGCCTTGACTAGATGGACCTTTGTTGGCAAAGTAATGTCTCTGCTTTTTAATATGCTATCTAGGTTTTTCATAACTTTCCTTCCAAGGACTAAGTGTCTTTTAGTTTCATGGCTGCAGTCACCATCTGCAGTGATTTTGGAGCCCCCAAAAATAAAGTCTTTGGGTTATTTAACATTACCTTAGAAAAAGCCGATTAGGCAAATATCTTAGCTGACAAACTAAATAAGCTCTTTTGATGTTTTAGAGTCATTGACTAAAGCCAAGGACAATATACATATATTGAAATATGCTTAGAATTAAAATGTAAAGCATTTATTACTCATGTACTTATTTATATATTTATTGTTTCATGTAATACACATCTCCATTATTCCATAGAGATTGAATTTGTCAAAATTACAAAGTGCTAATTGTATTCATTTTCTCAGAAGGAAAGTATATCATACTGCCTTTATTGAGAATCTGTGGTGTTTAACGTTCTAATTTTTTAATTTACATAAAATTTGCAGTAGGTTGTTATGCCACCATGTTAATTTTGAAGTAGTAATTTAAAGCATAAATTTAGATGAGTTTGTTTTTAAATTGACTGCATATTCACTAATTCTCGATTTTTCTCTTTCATGCAGAGGTACCTACCTGTTGACACTATAGAATCTGGCATTCATCCAGTGTATTTTTGCAGCACTCACTACATTGAAATGCTACTGAAAGCAGAGGTGCCACTTGTATTTTCAGCTTTTCACATGTCTGGTTTTGCACCATCACAGGTAATTCATGGAAAATAGTATTTCTTCAACTCCCAGATCTCAGTGTCTTTGCAAAGAAAATTATATTATCATCAAATACAGGAAATACATTAAAATTAATCACATCATTTTGTAAATAGTTATATGTCTGCTGCTGCTGCTAAGTCACTTCAGTCGTGTCCAACTTTGTGCGACTCCATAGATGGCAGCCCACCAGGCTGCACTGTCCCTGGGATTCTCCAAACACTGGAGTGGGTTGCCATTTCCTTTGCCAAGTTATATGTCTATATTTGTTTAAATCTTTAAGCTGGCTTTTTCCCCTAGGTCTTGCAGAATACATGTTTCTGTTATAGTAGATCTCTGGCATTCACAGATTTTGAGTTCTGTTTTAGCTATTCAAGACATAGACATTCTGGAAATCTATGACATGTAGACTTTTTTTAATGGAGATGATAGTGTTTCCTTCATAAGGCTTCTGCAAGGATTAAGTAGACTGAGGGCAAGAAGTCTTATCACCACTGAGAATCTGATATGTGAGATGTTGTATCTTATCTAACAGTAAGCTCTCTTTTGGAGTCTGGGGAGGTTTAATGATGTCTTGAGGGCCTGGAATTGGTCATGTGGTTATTTGCAGTACCCAAAGATGCCTCCCTCCTGTGCTTCGTCAGTCTTTCAGCGGTAGAGTGTGGATTGCTTCCTTGCTATGTTATCAGGCTAAAATTTAATATTTTAAAACTTAAATCTGTCTTCTCTTTTTAGAATTGAATCTCTAGGTCAGAGTCCCAGAAGGTAGATACTTAATCAAAAGATGTGAACACTTTTAAGGTTCTTGATACATACTCAGTTGCTTTGATTTTGTATTCTTCTAATAGAAATGAAGAGAGTATCTATTCTCTGGGACTGGATACTTGGGTTTTTCAAAACTAATTGCTAAATTTTTAAAATTTGCAGGGTTTGAGGCTTTTTTGAACATTAATAAGGTTGATTATAATTCCACAGCTTTGTTAACTAGTTGTATCTTTTTATTCATGGCCCATCTGTCTTAGTGGACTTCCTATTGACTTGTAAATATCCTTTAAAAGTAACCTCCACTATCCAAATCCCTTCAGTTCTTGAGAAATAATTTTTTACTTATTTTGTAATTTGACCTATCTACTTATTATTATATTTGTATTTACTATTCTGTTTTGCTTATTGAACTTTATTATTGCATCTTAACATGAGGTAAGAGTAAATAAACCTATTATTTACTTCCTAATGCTCTCCTAAAAAAGTCAATTTAGCTATTTCTACCTATTGGTTCCTCTTATGTGCACTTTAAGATTTTTCTGAGGTCAAAGTGGTCATTTGAATTTGAAATTTAGATTTTTATGTTAAAGTATAGATACTTTGAAAAAAATTATGTTCACACCACATTATTCTTCACATTATGATATATGCTTTTATACTTACTTTGAAGAGACCTTATGTCATTTATTACATTTACTTGTATCAGGTTACTCTGCCTGTTGAATTTTAAATTTCCTGAAGTTTAAAAAGCAGTTTAAATATAACAAAGGAATTGCATGTAGTGGAAAGGCCAGTTCTTTCTTAACCAATTCTGGTTCTTGCTATGTTTTTACCTAAAACTCTTCTGAGAATTACAAAATGTTTAATTCTGCTTGGAATTAGTTACAATAAGTTCAACAATCCTTTATTTTTGTATATATATATCTGTGTGTGTGTGTATTTTTTTTTAATAATTCAAGCTGTCAGGCGAGCGTATGCTCCTTGGTTCTGTCTCGTCACAACAAAGATTTGGAGAGATGGACATTAAAGCCCTTCGCGTGGCACAGCTCTCAGGTCCTGAACAGACTGTGGTATAGCTCTTAGACAAATCAGTGTTACAGCTCAGTGTTACAGCTCTATTTTATTTAGATATTAGCAGGAAAATCCATCTTCAAGTGTGAGGGCAAGTTGACCCAAAGACGCGAAGAGAAGAGTGCCCCAGCGTGGTGTGTAGGGGGAGAGCCTGCTTTGGCTCCTCTTTTTATATGTTTTTTCCTCCCCCTGGGCCTGCCCTATGTAAATTGGGCTAGCCAGGAATGTTGTTTGTTCTACCTGAGGTCCTCACTTGGGTCCTTGGACCTTCTTTTGTTCTATTTTCGCAGGCTTTTCCCTTCCTTGTCTTTTAGCCACCGCCATTCTGGATTCCTGTTTCCTATTCTAACTACCTAACAAAGCCAAGGAGAGTTCCTTTTGTCATTCTAGATTATGTGCTTTACTCAGTTGTGTCTGACTCTTTGGACCCCGTGGACTGTAGCCCGGCAGGCTCCTCTGTCCATGGGATTTTCCAGAGGAGGATACTGGAGTGGGTTGCCACTTCCTTCTACAGGGGATCTTCCCAACCCAGGGACTGAACCTGGGTCTCCTGCATTGCAGACAGATTCTTTACCATCTGCACCAAACATTTAAGAATGGATGACCAAAAACTGTGGGGAAAACTTTCAGTACCCAAAGCCCCACAATATCAACTTGGTACCTGTTTATCATTTTAGCTTTTCTTTAACAATTTGATATGTTTTTATCAATTTGAAGCTGCATACATGTAGATTTACCTAATAAAAAACTATTGCATTATTTCTGAGTAGTAATGTTATTATATTTCTTAAATTATCTAATGTAAAAATGCCTTTCTATGGCATTTTTTATGTGAGCTAATCATTTTGCATCTTAAGAAGTATGTATCATTGCTTTGTTATTATTCACCATTTTATTGCTAATTATGAAATATGAAAACAACATTTAAATAACTTGGTATATGTAGTTAAGTAATTATTTAGATATAAATTTTGTATTTCAAAGTTTACTCATTCTGATCTAATTAGGAGCCATGCTTTTTAAAATTGCATACTTATAGACATTAAGGGATTGGTTGATTAATGAAAGAATTTGTGAGGAGATTGCTAAATAGAATATACAGATCTCTAGACTAAAAATAATAAGTAACTAGAATACAAAAAATTAAATGTAGTTAGAAACGTATTTGTTGATTACCGTTTGAGATCAGAAGGAAAATCAAAATGAAAATATGTTTTTAAAATGAACAGAAAATCACATATTCTAATGAAAATGTTGAATTTTATTCTTTAATTTAAAAGGAAAAGCTTTATTGTATTTTAGTAATTTTCCTCTCCTAAGAAGTACCCCATATCTTTAATGACTTAACTTTTGTAATTCCTTGGGGTCATCATTTTGCATATCATTGATTATTGTATTATATTGTGTCAGCAAGTGAGCTAACATGGATAATCCTCCAAATATACTCCAGAAAAATCTCTTGATTCTTCTCATTGCTGCTTTTCCCCCCTCCATGAAAGCAGGATTAAAAAAAATTATTTTATTGTTTCATATTTTGTGACAGTGCCTTTTGAAATTGCAAAGTACACAAATGTAAAGCAAGATTTCAAGACTAGGATGCCCCTTGTATGTGCATGTCCCCAAGCTTTCCCTTTCTTTATGTTGTTGATGTTGCTATTTGAAATGATACCTTCTCCCTTTTTGTGCCCCATCTTTACTTGTCTATTTATCTTTGATATCTGTCCAAATGGAAACTTTAGGATCACTTACAAGTAGATGATTCTGCTTTGAATTGTATGCAGTTTCTGTGTTACTCTTCTAGTAGAAATATATCTTTTGCTTTGTGGAATCATTATTTGTGTGTTTACCTCTTTCTTACTAGTTGAAGTTTGTTAAAGATATGTATGCCTGATATATCTTCAAGTCTTTTAAGTATCTCGATATAGTCTTGTCTAGAAGTGCAATAAATATACTTTTTTTATTTATATCAGTGCTCTGCAGTATAAAAGTGTGTTTTCAGATCTTATTTCATTTAAAATTTTAACTTCATTTGACAGATGGAGAAATTCAGGAAAATTCAGGATCAGTGAAGTGAGTGAATTGACTTACTGATATAACCCTGATAGCAAAGACTTCACTTGAAACCACGTCTTAACTTTACTAACATTCTTTCTATGGTAAATAGATAAAATAATGCCAGAAGAGTTGTTAAATATAGCGTCTTTGTATCATAAAACTTAATCATTTAGGGCATACCTATTTTGACTTAATCAAGTATTCTTAAGTAATTGTTCTAACTAATGTTTTTACTAAAGAATTAAATACATTTTTTGAAGAGTGTTTTATATCTAGATACAACTGAGAATAATTTACCTTAGATACAATAATGATGTTTTTATCAGTGTTGCATCATATGTCCTTTATCATGAAAGTAAAAGTCTCTCAGTTGTTTCCAGCTCTTTGCAACCCCATGGACTATACAGTCCATGGAATTCTCCAGGCCAGAATACTGGAGTGGGTAGCCTTTCCCTTCTCCAAGCAAGCTTCCCAACCCAGGGATTGAACCCAGGTTTCCCACAGGGCAGATTCTTTACCAGCTGAGCCACAAGGGAAGCCCAAGAATACTGTAGTGGGTAGCCTATCCCTTCTACACCAGATCTTCCCAACCCAGGAATCGAACTGGGGTCTCCTGCATTGCAGGTGGGTTCTTTACCAACTGAGCTATCAGGGAAGTCTGCATCCTTTGGCATAACCTTAAGTATAAGGAACAAACTTTTCTGGGAAGGCTATGGTACATTTTGATGCATATTGTGTGAGGGATTTTCCTCCCTTTTTATCCTAAAGTGAATGTGTTAGTGGCTCAAAAAGTAATTTAAATGTTTCAAATATAATTATGTGTAAGGAATATTGGTTTACCATAGAAACATAATTAGCTTATTTTACTTTCTTTTTCATCTATTCCATTAACTGCCAATAGCAATTTTATTAATAGTATATTTTTGAGGCTTATATGAGGGAATTTTGCAGTTTCTAGCAGAAGCAGACATGCATTTACCCTTTCATCCAGCCATCTCATTTATAGAAATCTATCCCAGAGATACACTGACAAAAATTTTGAAAATGCATGTGTACAAATATGTTTTTTTTTTCAAATATGTTTTATAGCATATTAGAGCATATAG